GGGACAGCTCAAAATTTAGCTAGTATCCAATTATGCAGACTTTACATATTAAAAAAGGTGTCTGCTTACCTTAATTCTTTGTCCGGACTGTTCGAGAGGTCGACCAACATCTTTTCCGCGTCGAAAAATTCAATTTAAACACAAAACAGAGAAAGTGAGGGAGCAAGAGCAAGCCCATCCAAAAGCGAGCCCTTTCAGCGTCCGCTGGGATTTCTCCCCTTCCAGATAACGTGCTGTTGCTCCCACACGCCGAGAAAAAAAAGAAACAGAGGAAATTCTCTCAAAACAATCCAGAGAATGGCACAAACCGAGCCGCGCATTCTCCACCAAATCTGTTAGGATTCAGGCAGACAGAGACGGATCGTGGTGTGCCAAACTCTGGAAGTTTATTTAAGTTGCTCTCAAGTTCCACTGGTTTCCTCTGTTTCTTTCTCTCAGACAGAATAAAGGCAGTACACAGTTTATATAGTCATTGTCACGTCACACATCGAAAGACATACGTGTCACAAAGAGACAGTCAAATCATAGTCATAACATGGAGTCCTTGTAGAGTCCTTGTACAGTCCTGCACGTAGGCCATATTGCTATCTAATACTAATATATCTATATATATATATATATAGGCTCTGGGGGATGGGATTCTCAATGTGTGGAGAAAGTAATTAAAGTTATACTGTCAACACAGATATATAACACATATACAAAGGATTAAAAAGACTATTTATTGATATGACAAAGGAAGAAAACAGCTTTTATGACACACTGAAGACAAGCAGCTTGTTATTGGTTCAACAAATCTGTACACAAACATAATAATATTATAGAGATAAAAACTAATTTATTCTGTAAATAAAATACCAGACCAGACGTGGGGACCAGAGAGAGAGACCAGACTGAGAACAGAGATATACTAGAGAGAGACCAGAGAGAGTCTGGTCTCGGCGTTGATTTTTAACGAATTTCTGGAGGCTCTCCCTGTATTCCCAGACAAACACGCTTTTGGAGGAAAAAATATGACAAAGTGTCTTGTGAGCTCAAGTGCCTTTTGCGCAGGCCGTAACTTTTTTGTCTTTCATTTCCTATGAGTGAAATTCGCGGAGGATGTAGCCCAGGTCCGGACGAGTGCGTGGGTCCAAACCCCATGTCTCTAGCCCCCTTGGTTCGCCTTCTACGGGCCCGTGAAACCGCCACTTTCTTGACCGAGAATAGGCGCTCGTGAGCGGACACGGCCGCGCTGTCCCCCGCTGATTTCAGACCGACGTAACATTCCCGTCTCTTGTCCCCCGTGCGTGAAACTCACAGGGGTGGTAGCCCGGGCCAAGACGAGTCCCTGGGTCCAGACCGCGAGTCTCTGGGTCTCTGCGTTGATTTTTAACCAATTTCTGGATATTCTGTATTCCTAGGCACACAGGCTTTTGGAGGAGCTGTGTGCGAGCTCAAGTCCCTTTTGCGCAGGCCGTAACTTTTTTGTCTTTCATTCCCCATGAGTGAAATTCACGGAGGATGTAGCCCAGGTCCGGACGAGTGCGTGGGTCCAAACCCCATGTCTCTAGCCCCCTTGGTTCGCCTTCTACGGGCCCGTGAAACCGCCACTTTCTTGACCGAGAATAGGCGCTCGTGAGCGGACACGGCCGCGCTGTCCCCCGCTGATTTCAGTTCTTGAAATAAGACTAAATGGCCCATTGGCAAATTTGGTTTTACGGAAGTCAGATTGAACTCAAATTAACACAAAAACCATTGATTTAAGCATTTATTACCTCATATTTTATCATGTTTTTGCAGTGTGCCTGTAAAACAAGACATCAAACTGTTCAATGTTTTTAATATATAGCTAATGTTGTTTGTGGCTTGAAAGTTACATACCCCAGCTTTAATACTTGCTATGTAAGATGCATGGGGTAAATAGCATTTTTTTTAAAGTCTAAATATGCCAGAAATGTATATATTTTAACCGATTTGATTCACCGCAGTGACCAGAACCTGCGAAAGGAGAACAACTTGGACTTGAACTTGCGGCGTCAATACATCCGCATGACTTTACATTTTCTCTTTCACTTTTTGAATTGAAACTTGCGATTTTTATGGTTTTCTCCACCACTTTAGTAAAGGATTCTTGCGTAACATAAAGCACTCTTTGACTCATGGTCTGTGAAAGGTTCTATATACAGTAAATAAACATGTATTACTTACTTTACTTACTTAACACTTAAAAAAACATCTTCAAAACACATCTCATGTAGTAATAGAACAGTACAGCCAACAATAATCTCAATGCCCACCGCACAAGTCTGTAAATGATAGAATGTATGAATGGCAACAAAAAAAGTACATTTTCTCTCAATGCAGACTGTGGTTCCAGCCACAAGTGCAGCCTGTGCGTGTGCGTCGTGGCTTTGAAAGGTAAATGCCCAAATACAATCCATAGGCAGACAGACAGACGCATAAAGTCTATTGCAACTATAGTCATCGGTTAATCGGCTTTTGAACTATAGAGCTGGACCAAAAACATGCCGAGATGAGGTTATACGACTCCGACAGAGTTATAAATAATTCCATGTCATTCTCTATAAGTATTTCAAAAGACAAATTGCGTTACATCTTGTCTCTCCGTGCGGCATTGCTTCAGCTTTGTTTTGGTCAAGATTATTTGAAAGAAAATGCCAAAACAACAATCAATAATTAAACATACTCGTTATATACAGCCCTAAGTACATTCATGAACGGTCATACAAAACTCCTTATACTTATTTGAACCATTTTAAACAACAGGCATAGATAGAGGGATGGATACAGTCACGCAATACTATCCAAAGAGGACGCATGTTGCTTTTTTCCCCATATAGCAGCCATCGTAGTAAAAGCAGGTGCCAGCTACCAAAGCCTGAGAAGTTCAACAAAAACTTTCCACTTACAGTCGTGCGTAATGAACCATTGTGGATGGACATGGAGCGTGAATATCCCCCAGCCAAAAAAAATGTCTATAGAGGAACTTGCCTGATTGCGTGGCTCCCGTCCCGATCCAAAGCGAGGCGACGAAGATCCAAGCTGCGAAGTTCATGATTTTCGTTTTTGTTTATTTGTTTTTGGCTCGGGATGTTTGGAAAATACTGCAGAGATGTCCCCCAAAGCGCGCGCGGTCCGTCTCGCCGTAAACTCCAATACCGCGGTTATAAGCAACTCACATGTCCGTTGGTTTTTGGGGAAATGTATCCACTCGGAGAAACGGGGAAATTGAAAAAAAAAAAAAAAAGAGAGAGAATCAAAATGTAGAAAAATGACAAACAAACAAAAATATGTGGAGAAACGTGTTTGTTTGTTTTGTTTTTGTTTGTTTTTTCTAGTGCGCGGTCGCGGTGAAGTTAGGACCGTTGATCATGTTCAATTCCACTTCAATTAATGGAAAAGTAATGGACAGGGAAGTGTGTAATGTTTTGTATGGTTTTGGATCAGACAAATCCACTTTATCATCAATTAACAAGACTGCTAAAGTTCTGCACTGAAAATATCTGTTCAAATCATAGTTCTAAAACAGTAATTCCGGCCAAATTTCCAGCCTTTTCACAGAGGTCTATCAGCCCAAGATCAAGATATATATAGTTATTAGTGACTCACACAGCTCTACATAGTAGGTGTATAATAGTTAAAATTGAGATGGTGAGAGAATGAAGCTGAGATCTGTATTCATCACACACGTTTTGTAATTTAAACAATACCGAATACATATCGTAAAAGGAAAACTGTAATGTTGAGAGAGAACAGTTGAGAACTACCTGTGTTGGTATAGGTTCTCAACTTTTCTCTATTTTGCATTACCTTTTGTCATATTTTACAAAAAGGCTCAACGAAACTTATATTTTCAGTTTTTGCAGTGACTAAAATTTCCACCAGGAGGCAGCACGTTACCATGATAACACTGTAGTCAGCTCACAGCGCACTCGTGTTTTTATTTTATATATGAATTTAAATTGAATTATAATTTCTACCTCTACCAACCACTGCAGCTACTATGTGTGTTATGTGTTATGTAGCAATAGTATAGTAATGTTATATATTGCTTTATCTAACACTTATAACACATGGTATAGCAGCATTGCAGTTGGTATAGTGATAGCACTTAATTTCCATTCAATTCAATGTATTTGTGTTAATCCCTAAATCACAAAAGCAGATGGAGCCATTGGTCCATTGGGAGCAGGCTTTCCACTGTCCATAAATATCCAGAAGTGACCTTAACTCATTGACTGCCAGCGGTTTTTGATGATTTCACTGATTTGTGCTATGACTCTGTGAAATATATAACCAGATTTTGAAAGATTGGATTGTATTCTTTCAGCAGCAAAAACAAAGTTTGTCTCTAGCTAGTTTTGTTCTTCTGTAATCCCCAGTCGAAGTTGGAGAGAAATCAGAATACATCAATGGTAGTCAATAAGTAAAATGTCTGTTTTTAGACCTCTTTCTATCTCAAAATCACAACCAGTGGGAAAAAAGTGAGAAACCATGAGGGAGCCATACAGTATTTATTAAGGAGGCCAATATTGAGGTTGGGATCAGCTTCCACCTACGGACAGGCAGTCGATCCATGCAGGACGGAGGCTTCAGGACGAGGCTGTGCACCCCAGGCTCCCAGGCGGAGGGGGGTCCAGCCCACGTGTCCGGGCCAGGGCAAGGTCTGAGTTTATAGTATGTAGAGGTAGTTGTAGCAACAGGGGGTTGTATTTAAAATTACGTGGTCTTTCATATCCCCTTGTACTCAAATCACTAATTCAACACTGTGATTCAAAACTCACATTTGTTCAGTATCGGAATTCCATAACAATGCCTAGATGCATTTTATATAGACCTCCAAGTTACCACCATCACACTTACTTCTTCTCTGTTTCTAATAACTAGACTCATCCACATTTAGAATCTTTCAGAAAACGCAGCCTCTGAAAACGCGCCCTGACCGATGTTCGCGCGTAATTGGCGAAAGAAATCCACTTGATTCCGTCCGAGCGGCGATGTGTGGCATTTGGCTCTCCCTCTGCAACTCTTCTCCTCTGCTCCCTCTTTCCGCTATGTACAGCTCTGATCTATCTTTAGCCCTGTCCTCTGCGCCACATGCGCTCTGGCGTTTGGCACATGATCCAGTAACCGAGGGGGACCTTTACGCGCGGACTTCACCTGTTTGTTCTTCTTTACGCGCGGGGCCTGCATGGGCTTTCCCCCGGCAGCGGTGCGTGAGTGTTTGGGTCCTGAGTGACTGGAGGCTGGGAGACTGTAGGAGCCGCTCCACACGCACACGTACACACACCGGTGCCAACATGGAGATGAGGCGCGCGTCGTGGCTCCCGGCTGGACTGGCGCTGTGCCTGGCAGGTCAGAAGCGTCGCGTCGCGTGGGAAAGATTTGGTTTCATGTTTGAAGTAGTGTGCAGTGTTTTGTGTATGTGAAATATGCAGTATTATTAGTAGCATATACGTTGCAGTAGTAGTAGCAGCAATAATAGTAGAAGTTATAGTTGCAGCAGCAGCAGCAGAAGTAGTAGTAGCAGCAGCAGTGGTAGTAGTAGTAGTAGTAATACTCTCAGTAGAAGCAGTAGCATTAGCAGTAGTAGTAGTAGTTGCATCAGTAGCACTAGTAGTAGTAGTAGCAGTAGTAGCTGTAGCAGTAGTAGTACTAGTAGGAGTAGCCGTAGTTATTGTAGTAGGAGTAGTAGCAGTAGTCACAGTAGTAGTACCAGTAGCAGTAGTAGTAGTAGTAGCAGTAGTAGTTCTAAAAGTAGCAGTAGCAGTAGTAGTAGTAGTAGCAGTAGCAGTAGTAGTAGTAGTAGCAGTAGCAGTAGTAGCAGTAGCAGAAGTAGTGGTAGCAGTAGTAGCAGTAATAGCAGTACTAGTAGTAGCAGTAGCAGCAGTAGTAGTAGTAGTAGTAGCAGTAATAGCAGTAATAGCAGTAGTAGTAGTAGCATTAGGAGTAGCAGCAGTAGTAGTAGTAGTAGTAGTAGTAGCAGTAGCAGTAGTAGTACTGGTAGCAGTAGTAGCAGTCAGTAATAGCAGTAGTAGAAGTAGCACTAGTAGTAGCAGTAGTAGTAGTAGTTTAGGAGTAGCAGTAGTAGTAGTAGTAGCAGTAATAGCAGTAATAGCAGTAGTAGAAGTAGCACTAGTAGTAGCACCAGCAGTAGTAGTAGTAGTACTAGGAGTAGCAGTAGTAGCAGTAAAAGCAGTAGTAGCAGCAGTAGTAGTAGCAGCAGTAGTAGTAGTAGGAGTAGCAGTAGTAGTAGCAGTAGTACTAGTAGTAGCAGTAGTACTAGTAGTAACAGTAGCAGTAGTTACAGTCACAGTAGTAGTAGCAGTTGCAGTCTTCAGAAATAGTGCCCGTTCATGGATTGCGAGGGATTTGCATAAATTAAGCTTTTTTTTTTTTTTTTTTTAAATTGATTCTAAAGTGTCTAAAATTAAATCTTGCATCATTCTGACATAAGCGACAGTTGTAGTTAAATAAATCGGACATCGCTGTTTCACATCCAGTGTTAGCAGCAGCAGCAGCAGCAGGTTTTTAGTTTATGAGAAACAATGTCGATAACAGTGAGAGAAAATTCCACAGTTGGTCACATTGTTGATATGATGTGAGCTCGTGACCTTGGCAACAAAAATGCCAACAATGTTGCCAGTCTGCAGCTTTAAAAATGAAAAAAAGACGGCGGTGAAAATAAAACAAGGCTTTAGTGGAGGAGGTTTAACAAACGCAACGATCGTGTAACATCTCAGATTATTGTTAAATGCTTAAAGGAGCTATACCTGTTTCTGCAAGGTTTGAATGTTTAGCCCCGCCCCCAACTCGCTCACAGTCTTCTCATTTAACCTACGCTCTCATCCCACGGAGCCATCTAGTTTTATTTGCGATCTGATACATAGGCTAACATTAGCATTAGCACAACTTCCTGTAAGCTGTACAACAATCACTGATGAAATGGTACAAAAGCAACGCACTGCTAACAAAATATATAACTGAAAGATTACCGCTAGTTTTGTGTACGAATGTGGTCCGAGCATAGATAGTCCGAGGCGGTCCCGCTCCAACAGGTCTCTTCCATAGACAAGTCTCTCCAGAGGATACGATGTAAGCTAGCAATGTTCACCCGGGCTTGATTTCTTCTTTGATCATTGTTTCGCGTTAGTTCCCTCTTCTCTTCCTCACTGTTGTGTCGATACATTGAAGAACGTAATGAAAACATGTATAGTAAGTTTCGATATGGAATGACAATCAAAATGTACTAATTCTTGAATCCATTTGGCAGCAACCTGGAATGGGTTGGCAAGCTACTGTTACCTGTAAGATAAGAGAAGATCGACTTTATTGATCTCAAGTTAAAAGCAGGATACTGTATATTATGTACAAAAAAAAGTGGCAATTTAAAGTGGCAATCAACAAACAGTGTCAATAGTAGTGCAGGTTTTCAGTCCTAATGCAAGTGACTTAAAGTGACTTATTGTACAGTTTGACAGCGGTGGGGATGGAGGTGGCTTTGGCTAGTACCCTCCTGTCCCTCACCTCCTCCACAGAGTCCAGGGGCCTCCTGTCCCTCACCTCCTCCACAGAGTCCAGGGGCCTCCTGTCCCTCACCTCCTCCACAGAGTCCAGGGGGCAGCCCAGAGTGGAGCTGGCCGTCCTGACCAGCTTGTTCAGTCTGCTCCTGTCCCGCTCTGTGCTGCCCGGGGCCCAGCACACGGCAGCGTAGTGTATGGCCGAGGCTACCACAGGGTCATAAAAAGTCCTGAAGAAAATACTGTATTCATGTTCAGAACAAGAATTAGAAAAGAAAATCCAATCAAATGTTGTTTATCAAAATACCTTCCTAACGTAAAAAAAAAAAACATATATATACAGTATAATCAAAGATAACCCAGGTGTGTCCAAACTAAGGCCCTTGGGTCAAATGCGGCCCTCTGCGTCAATTGTTTCGGCCGTCTGCCTTGCGAACTGAAAGTAGTCTTTGAGATAATAAGTCATTCAGCCAACTTCAGCTCTACCAATATGTTTTACCTTGTTGAGAATGCAGTTGTAAGTACGGACACATTCAGACTTTACTACAGTTACAAAAATAGATTTCTAACTTCTCTACCTAAAGTTTTACGTCACAGAACACAAAGGGGAATTTAGACTGGGACAACAATTGAATTGGTCAAAATGCAGATGTCACACCTCATTGCAAACCATTTTAAAACCCAGGTTGTCGGCCCCTGGACAAGTCTGATGAGCAAGAGTGGTTAAAAGTTTGAACACCCCTGAGATAACCGCTTTCATTCTTTCGGCCCTCAACCACACACCTTACCTTTTTTATTCTGCCCTCAACGAAAATGAGTTTGACTTCCCGAGAAATAGACACTTTTCTAAGCTCTTGTTCTCTTGTGATGGATGGGAGAGGGAGAGACTAGTAAGAGAGCGGGAGAGTGAGACCAGTGTGAGAGACAGACTCGAGGGAGGGAGAGAGAGACCTGTAAGAGACTAGAGAGAGAGACTTGTGGGAGACTAGTGAAAGACCAGAGAAAGAGAACATAGTGAGAGTGAATTGTGGGAGAGAGGAAGGGAGATACCAGTGAGAGACCAGAGAGAGGGAGAGAGAGATTTGTAGGAGAGAGGAAGAGAGACTAGTAAAAGACCAGATAGAGAGAGACCAGTGGGAGACCAGATAGAGAGAGAGAGAGACCAGTGAGAGGAACCAGAGAGAGAGAGAATTGTGGGAGAGAGAGAGGGAGAGAGAGAGAGACTTGTAGGTGAGAGACCAGTGAGAGGAACCAGAGAGAGAGAGAGAATTGTGAGAGAGAAAGACCCGTGAGAGACCAGATAGCGAGACTTGTGGGTGAGAGAGAGACCAATGAGAAACCATAGAGAGAGAGAGAGACTAGTGAAAGATTAGATAGAGAGAAACTTGAGATAGAGAGAGACCAGTGAGAGACTTGTGGGAAAGAGGGAGAGAGAGAGAAACAGGTGAGAGACCAGAGAGAGAGAGAGACCAGTGAGAAACCACAGTGAGAGGGAGCGAGAGAGAGACTTGTAGGAGAGAGGGAGAGAGACTAGTGAAAGACCAGATAGAGAGAGACCAGTGGGAGACCAGAGAGAGAGAGACTTATGGGAGAGAGAGAGAGAGACCAGAGAGAGACTGACTTGTGGGAGAGAGGAAGAGAGAGAGAGGGAGGCCAGTGAGAGACTTGTGGGAGAGAGAGGGAGGGAGAGCGAGAGTGAGAGCCCAGTGAGAGCCCAGAGAGAGACCAGAGAGAGACCATTGAGAGAAAGGGAGAGCGGGAGGGACTAGTGAGAGAGAGGGAGAGAGAGAGAGACTGTATCGGACTGTTGCGGCGAAGAGAAGCGGCGTGTGTTTGTTTTGGGGAGGATTGTGGAGACACCTGGCCCCGGATAAAGCAGAAGAAAGCAGGTGGTCGTATCTGTTCCACGAGAGAAGAGCCACAACCACAAAGTGTCTCTGTTCGCCCGATGTGAGCGCCTCTGTCATGTTTGCTTTTGTTTTTCACGTCTGCTGCTCCCTGATTGGCTATTAGTCCGCACCACCGCTGCTCCAGGCTTGACCCTCTCGGCAAGACCCCCCTGCTGCTTACGTCTGGGGCTGAATCTGTTTCAAGTCCGGGGCCTTAAAGAATTGTCTTGTTTTGTTCTATCTGGAATAGCTTAGAAATACACTGAGGGTTTCCAAGTGCGTGTGATCTCTGCCTCCTGAGTCTCATTTCTCGACATATGTTTCATAAATAACACATGTGGTTATTTCTGCTGTCAGTCCCTTCTTGACTCTTCGTGCTGGGAGCTGATTGGCTGAGTGACGGGTCCTCAGAGGCCAAAAATATGTTTTATTTTTAGGTATGTTGAATTTGATTGTATGTTGTCATTTCCTATGTATTTTCTTGCCTTGGGACTGTGGATGAAAACTAGCTTTGTAGCTCTAATCCGGCATATTTACATTTGTTTTAAACTGATTGGCCCTATCAAATAAATAGATTTTAAAATAATACATACATGTGGTGATAGAAACAAACCATTTTGAGAGCACTGAATTAGTTAGATGGATATCATTGTGTGAGTGAATGGCTGGTGGTGGTCGGAGGGGCCGATGGCACAGACTGGCTGCCTCTCTTTTGTCACTGTGCCCCTGGGCAGCTGTGGCTACAGTATAGTTTATCACCACCGTGTATGAGGGGAGAAAAATAGCGTGTGTGGCCTCTTTGAGTGACCAAAAGAGTGCTATATAAATATGATGCCGTGTTAATTACATATTTATAATTATTTTGTGAAAGTGAGGTGCCCCCGCTTTAAAATGAGAAAACATTTTCACCACCCATCATCTTTCAACTACAAATATTAGCACAACTCCCCAAACTCCCGAAGCATTCCCAGCAGAGAGGGCGTTTGAAGAGGCCGATCCACACTGGCATGATAAATATTTGCCGCAGTGCGTGCGATGTGCCGGTGTCGTAAACCGTTAGCTTGTTAGCAATAGCGCCTTTCATCCGTTGCGTGGCTCATGTTTGCACGCTCGCTAACGTAGCACGTAAATATAACAAGAGCGCTTATCTCAGCGCTGCAGGACAGAGGTTATGTCCCGTGTGTGTACAGAAAAACACACATCTCCAGCCTGAATATTGTTAAGAGTATCTCACACAATGACTCATCTGTGTTTTCTCATCATATGCAGTTAGAAAGGTCAATAATGAGCTTCTCCTTTCTCTACAATGCCTTCCATGCACGTCATCACACTGTCTTTCTTTTTCTCTAAGGTAAACCAACATGTGCTTTTTTCAGGGATGATAGAGATATTAAAAATTGGTCAAGGAGGCCGATTATCCATATATAGAACAGTTATTAATTTGCTGTAAAAGTATTGTTGTCCAAAGGTTGATTCATATAAAGTAAGGAAGTAAGTAATCTTTATTTATATACCGTCTTTCACAGACCAGACTGAGTCACAAAGCGGTTTACAATTGTTATTTTTTGGGCATTAGTCTCTCACTCCACACAGAGATGGGAGCGGGGCCAGTACAGGAGGCACATGCCAGACCGATTGTGCATGTTTTTAGTGGTAGGGAAAACCGGAGTACACGGAGGAAACCTACGCAGACACGGGGAGAACATGCAAACTCCACTCAGAAAGGCCCTGTTCCAAGCAGACTCATCCAGGTTTGTTGTACAGTCTGACAGCTGAAGGAACAAAGACTCTCTTGAAATCTTCCGTTCGGCAGCGTAGTGATAGGAGCCTCCTCTGAGCGGCCATAGTGTCGGACATGCACTTAACTTTGTAACGGCAGAATTGGAGAGATCACGTGGTGGAGACTTTATGGGGAGCATGGATCTTCAAGTCTGAAATGCTTCTTTTTTTTTTGCTTTCAGATGAAGTGTGTTGTTATTGAAGATAATTCTGACCTAAACCAAACTATTCATGCAAAGCTTTTTGGGTTAAATTGAGTTGTCTCAATGTAGTCTGGACTAAACTGATCATTTGACTATGTAATTTGAAAAAAGTAAGCAAATCTGCAGATACCAACAGCGTTCAGCAAGTTCTAAAATAATAATGTATATGTTTGGTTTTGGTTTTTTTACTACAGTACTCTAATGACTGTACAGCCATTTTGGATTAAGATGCAACCACTGCTACACACTGTAACACATTGCAAACATTTTTTTCTTTAACCCAAACTTAACCCCCTCCTTTTTTGCATCTCTTCTCCTCACAGCTGCCATCCTGCCCTCCATCTCCGCTTGCGACCGTGGTGACTACCGAATGCTCATTGGAGACTTCTGCCTGACTAAATTCCGCTTGGACATGGAGGCCTTGGACCGCAGCCTCTGGTGCAGCTGGCCCCGGACAATGGAGTGAGTGCATTCATGTGTGGAAAGAATATTATTGTCCGTCCCTGGAAAGCCACACCCCCAGCGAGTTAAGCCACGCCCCCATTTGCTCTGTGCTGACAGACGAGGGTCATGCGTGTGCGGGGGAGGTGAGCTTATGGAGCCAGTCGGTGCCAATTAGCATAGCATGTTTGTTCTTGTGTGTGGATATAGAAGAGGTCTTTGTTTGCTAATGACCACAATTTGTTCTGATTGGATCGGAATGTCACACCTTGGAATTGTGTGTCGGACAAAAAAGGTACGGCATGTGATGGGAGACCTCTGAGAACAGTCATACTGGTTGCCTCGCTTCTGTCAGTGTGCTCCAGGGCAGCTGTGGCTGTAAAGTGCCAAACTGCTGTTGTGTCCTTAGGCAAGACACTTCACCCACTTGTCTAGAATGAGCCTGGTGGTGGTCTGAGGGACTGATGGCACACACGTAGCCTTGCTTCTGTCAGTGTGCCCCAGGGCAGCTGTGGCTACAATAGTAATTTATCACCACTGCGGATAGGAGTGAAAGAATACTGAGCGTCTTTAGAGTGTCCAAAAAGCGCAATTTAAAACAGATGTATTATTATTATTATTATCATTATTTTTATATTGTGGGCTAATTTTGTTCACATTATGCTGTTACAAGACTCATTCGGGCAGCTGGCACTCTCGCTTCTCAGCAAGAAGGTCCTGGGTTCGAATCCCTTTCTGAGTGGAGTTTGCATGTTCTCCCCGTGTCTGCGTAGGTTTCCATTGGGTGCTCTGGTTTCCCCTACCACTAAAAAAACTTGCACAATAGGTCTGAATGTACAGTAGATGAGAGAGTGAATGGATGGTGCTGATTGGAGGCTGATGGTCCAGTGTGTTCGGCGACACACTTCCGTCATCACTGTGTGTGGAATGATTGGAACAATATCTGAACTCTGAACATTGTAAAGCGCTTTGGGTGACCTTGTTCTGTAAAATGCACTATATAAATAAACATTACTTACTTACATTCTGCTGGATATAATGTATTTATGCTCCCTGTATTCTGCATTTGCTTCACTGCCCACCGGTTTCCACTTCTGAAATATATGTGTCAGATAGAATTGGTGATTAGCTACTTGCACAATACCATAATGCTTTGCAGGATGTGGGTCAAAGGCCATCGCTCTAATGCACACTATTCTGTCCTCACTATGGTGTCACACTACCAGGGCTAGACAGAT